TGTCACTGTATAACACTGGGGTACAGTATTTGTGGGGACAGGTCTGTGACTGTATAACACTGGGGTATGATACTGGTTAGGTCTGATCTTTCATTATATAACTCGCCCTCTCATCCCAAAAAAAACCAATCTTTGATTAGCTAGGTACTCTGTGCCCAATTTATGAGTGATTTCTTTCAGGGTGATGTTTGTCTTCCTACCATCACTTCTTACTATTTCCAGACTAAACTTCTGAGATGATGCTATTCATTTGTAGGTTACAGCTTGTTTCCCACCCCCAGCCTTAATTTATTAAGTTTGTAGATCTCTACTAAGATAATGAGATATTCAGCGTAATTCATGTGATTGCTTTATGCAGTTTCTCCTCCAAATGATTAACATTGTCCCACATGTCCCAAGCGTTTTGAAAAATACCAAAGGCTATCAATACGTTTAAAAGATAAAAAGAACTATATGTGATTCCATGATAATTATTGTTGTCTTTGACAAGTTGGTTAAAGTCACTTTGAAAAGACTGCTTCCTCCATTTCTTCTCCAGAAGGCTAGGAGTGACATCAGCAAGAATCAGACCTATCACAGTGAGGTAACAAATTTATGTTGCAAGATGCACATACTCAATGGGCCAAGGGTTTTTCTGCCCTGAAGGCTCTTTAACCCTATCATGACGGGTCAAAAATACCAAGATAAACTGAAGTGAGACAGGCAGGTGAGAGTGACTTGAGTACTCTTGACCTCCAAACTTCGAAGTGATTGATTGATATCTGATCTTGATCATAATTGGATGCCTCCAACATGTCCATAAATGCATTTAAAATTTATTTAGTATATACTTTAGATAAACTCTGCCATGTGATGTCTTGAACATAGCAGCAATATGCGATAGTATAGCTCATTCAGTTGATCTCAAATAGGGAGGGAGCTTCAGTACTTAGGTCCGGTAACGTTGCCTTATAGATTATATCAAAATACATTCTAACCTCTGAAGAAGGTGATGAAATGCTCAAGGCCAATCAGGGGAAGAAATAAGAAAAATTGCTCTGCAATTCCTCTTGGTGATAAAAGTTAATTTAGAAAACCACATCGACCATCACTGATATTAGTTAGTGTCTTTATTTTTATTTCTTCATGTGATATGTGTGTTGCTAGGTTGGTTCACATTTATTGCCCATTCCTAATTGTGCTGTACAAACACCCATAATGCTTGTTACAAATGAAGTTTCAGGAGTTTAACCCAATGACACTGAAGGAGTGGTGATATATTTCTAAGTTAGGATGTTGTGTAGCTTGATGGTATTTCCATGCATTTGCTGCCCTTGTCATTTTAGATGACAGAGGTCATGGAAGGTGCTGTCTGAGGAGTCTTGGTGAATTTCTGCAGTGCATCTTGCAGATAGTATACACTGGGTGTCAGTGTGGAGGGAATAAATGTTGAAGTGGTTAATGGTGTGCCTATCTTTGTCCTGAATTGTGTCAAAATTCTTGAGTGCTATGTAGCTACAATCTACTATCAGACAAGTGTACAGTATTTAATCATATTCCTAACTTGTACCTTGTAGATGGTGGATAAGTTTTAGAGAATTAGGAAATGAGTTAACTGCCACAGATCTCTCAGCCCTCTGACTTGCTCCTGTAGCTAGTATTTATGTGGTTATAATATGCTCAATGGTAACCCACAGCATGTTGATAGTGGGGTCTCAGTAATGGCAATGCCAAATGAACACCAAAGAATAATGAGTAGATTCTCTCTTATTGGCGATGGTGGATGGTCATTGTCTGACACTTGCATGGTGAGAATGTTACTTGCTACTAATCAGCCCAAGAGTGGATGTTGTCCCAGTTTTGCTGAATTTGGAAATGGACTGCTTCAGTGTCAGGAGTTCTGAATGGAGCTGAATATTGTGCAATCATCGGGAAACATCTCCACTTTTGACATTATGATGGAGGAAATATCATTCAAGAAGCTGAAGATAGTTGGACCCAGGGGACTACACTGAGGAACACCTGCAGAGATTTGTTGGGATTAAGGTAATTTACACTCCATCAAATACAGCTTTGATGTTAAAGGCAGTCATTCTCACCTCATCTCTGGATTTCAGTTCTTTTGTTCATGCTTGAACCAAGGAATAAATGAGGTCAGGAGCTAAGCGGCCAAACTGTACATCAGTGAGGAAGTTATTGCCATTTGATAGCACTATTGTTGACACTTTCTATCAGTTTGCTGATGTTCAAGTGTAGACCTATGGGGCGGTAATTGCTGGGTTGAATTTGTCCCGCACATTTTGTTCACAGGACATACATGAGGAATCTTCCTCATAGATGCCACTGTTGTAGCTGTACTAAAACAGCGTGGCTCGGGTCACAGCAAGTTCTGGAGCACAAATCTTCAGTACTATTGCTACAATGTTGTCAGGGTCCATAGCCTTGGCAGTTCCAGTATTTTCAACCATTTTTTGGTATCATGTGGAGTGAATCGAATTGCCCAGCAAGTTGAATTTCTGATGGGCAATTACTTGGTTCTCAGAGACTTATGAAAGCATTCCCAACTGTGTGTTCAAATCTAACCCTTCAGATACTTCTGACTGACTGACCTTAATGGTTAGTCAGGGAAATGCAGAGAGATTAAAACCTGCTGTAACTACTGACTAACTAACTATAAAACTTATTCCCCCACTCCCAACACGTACCTAACCTCCTGCATCTCCCAGATCTGACTGCCCCCTCCCAACCTGACAGGTGTCCTCTCCACTCCACCTCCCCATGCATACACAATGTCTGAACGAAGCCTCCCCCATCCCCAATTCACGACTGAGACTCTACAATTTCCTTGCCAGCCTGACCATGCACACACTGTAGCACCTGTCAGTATCATTGATCCTTTATTATGTGGATTCTACTTTCATTCTGCTGATGACTTTGTTCTTTTACTCTGCAGTCATTTGTTATCCTAGGCAAAATGTTGGATTCAGTGGCTATTTATTACTCCAAATTTTGTGTATTAATTATGTATGGCTTCAGGATGCAGCATATATACCTCAGAGAGTGGATAGCTTCAGTGCGATTGTGGATGCACACAAAGCTGAGCTCACTGCATTAGCCCAAGTGTCACGGGAAGCTGCAGAAGCACGGAAGAACATGTGGGTAAGGACCAGAAATCCTACTACGCGATAGGCATGCTGTTACTATTCTTTCAGTGGACTTTGACATCACTGGAAAAGTCAGTATTTGTTGCTCATTCCTAATTGCCCTTGAACTAAGTGCCTTGCATGCTCTATTTAAGGGTGAACCACATAGATGTGGATCTGGAGTCATGCGTAGCCTGTAAAAGATAAGGATGGCAGATTTCCTTCCCTAAAGGACATTAGTGAGCCAGATAAGATTTTACAACAACTGATGATAATTGCCATGTTCAATTGTCACCAGCCTTGCTTTCTCTTCCAGATTAATTAATTGAATTTAAATTCGACAAACTACTGTGATGTGGCTCAAGCATGTGTTCCCAGAGCATTAACCTGGTCCTCTGATTACTAATCCAGTGATGTTGCTACTACGCCACTGTCTTCCCCCCCAGCGTGAAGCTTCTTCTAAATTGTCCCCATCAAACACTCTCACAGGTACAGCATGGGGTTAGGTACAAAGTAAAGCTCCTTTACACTGTCCCCATCAAATACTCTGAGGGCAATGACAGCACAATGTTAGATACAGAGTAAAACATCTTATACTCTGTCCCCATCAAACTCACCCAGGACAGGGACAGAACAGAGTTAAACACTAAAGTTTTCACTACACTGTCTCTGTCAAACACTCTTAAGGACAGGTAACTATGACACAGTTAGATAACAGAATTCTATTGAACCTGATGCCCAGGATTGTGCACAATATTCAGATCTCATCAAGGTCTTCTGCCAACTTTACTTTGTCTCTTTGCTTTTATATGTTTTATGTAAGAACTTTGAATTCCATTTTCTTCTTGTGCCAACATTCCAATGGCCCAAGTCGCTCTTCTGTTTCTCTGTTAACCATTTAGACATTGGATGTACTTTCTGTCCTGTTCCCTTTCCCAAGAATGGACTCTCTCACATTGCTGTGCTTTAAACTACATCTGCCTTCTGCCTCACCAGTAAGTCTATGTACTCGTGATCTTCCTGCCTCCTTCCTTACTGGATGCCTTTGATGTGCAGACTTTGATGTGCAGACTTTGATATGCAGACTTTGATATGCATCTCAAATGGCTCTGTCCAAATAGTTGCATAAATGGAAAATGAAATGGGATCCTGGCCAAGATTTCTGGGCTAAAGCCCTGATATGCATCTTTTACACGTTACTGTTAATACCATCAGCCTCAATTTCCAAAATTACTGTCTTCCATTTACAATGGAACCTGTAAGACCATGAGACAGAAGAGAAGAGTAGGCCATTGAGCTCACAAGTCAGTTCTACCATTTAATGAGATCTGATAATTCTCAACTCCACTTTCTTGCCTTTTCCTGTAACCCTTGATTCCTTTACTGATTGAAAATGTGTCAATCTCAACTCTAAATACACTAATATACTGGATATACTTAACAACCCACCCTTATCGGCCCTCTATGCTAGGGAATTCCACAAATTCACCCTTGCCTGAGAGAAGAAAGTCCTTCTCATCTCTGTCTTACTATGGTGATCCCCCCTTATTCTGAGACTATTCCCTCTGGCCCTATACCCTCCCACAAGAGGAAACAACTTTGCGACACCTACGTTATCATGTCCCCTAAGAATCTTGTATGTTTCAGTAAGGTTACCTCTCAATCGTCTGAATCCCAACAGTTACAGGCCCAACCTATTCAAGCACTCCTCATAAGACAGTCCCTTCATACCTGGTATCTTCCTAGTGGACCTTTTCTGGACTACATCCAGTGTCAGTATATCCTTCCTTTGATAAGGGGACCAAAACAGTTCACAGTATTCCAGTTCTAATCTGACTACTGCCTTTTATAGCTTTAGCAGAACTTCCCTACCTTTTATATTTCATTCCTTTTGAAATTTGAAGGCTAACATTCCATTTACCTTCCCTATTACCTGCTGAACTTGGATGTTAGCTTTTGTGATTCATGCCCAAAGCCCTCTGTTCTGTAGCTTTCTACGGTCTTTGTCCTTTTAAATAATGTTCTACTCCTTTGTTCTTCCTGTAAAAGAGCATAACCTGTTCCCACATTATATTCCATCTGCCAAATTTTTGTCTACTCGATTAACCTGTCTGCATCCCTCTGCAGACTCTTTATATCGTTCTTACCACTTGCTTTCCCATCTATTTTTGTGTCATCGCAAACCTAGCTACAGTACATTCACTTTCCTCATTCAAGTCATTAACACATATTGTAAACAATTGTGGCCTAGCTCTGATTCCTGTGGCACACCACTAGCTACAGGTTGCCATTTTCAAATTGCTTCCTTTATCCCAACTCTCCGTCTTTTATTAGTTAGCCAGTACTCTATACATGCTAATGTACTACCTCCAATATTATGCACTCTTACCTTATTAAGTAGCCTAATGTCTGGTACCTTATCAAATGCTTTCCGAAAATCAAAGTATATTACATCCAATGCATCTCCTTTATCTATTCTGCTTGCTCTAAAGAATTCCAGTAAGTTTTTCAGGCATTATTTGCCCTTCATGAAACCATGCTGAATCTACTTGATCATATATGCATTTCATAAATGTGCTGCTATTTCATCTTTTACAATAGATTGTATAATTTTCCTCATATAACAGATGTTCCCAATAATCTTCAGCAGCCATGTTAAGCTGAAGTTGGTTGATTTTATTTCTGCTGTGTCTAGATTGAGTTGGATGCTCTGGAGAAGTCGTACAGCACGGAGAAGAAGGAGCGAGAAACAATACTTTCCAACAGGAGGAAGCTACTGAACTTAGAGAAATATGCGCTGAAACGTGTAAGGATAATACTAGTTTGCTTCTGCTGCTGTGTCTGAGGCAGTATTTTTTTTTAAGAATTTTTTAAATCAACTTGTTCAGGGATGTTATTGCACACGTCACGGTAGCAGGTAAGAGTTGAACCCATGTCTCCTGGTTCAGGGGTAAGGACACGACATTGCCCTACAAGAGACCCATGTCTATTTTTAGACGGATTGTTGTCACAGACACATTATTAATCTTTGTTTAGCAGCAGGAAAAGCTCTAATCACTGATCCCTCCCTATAACCTTCAGTGCTACCTGTCATCCATCACTTGAGTTCAGACAGTTTGAGGAGCAAATGCACCAGGATGTTTAATATGACAGTGATCTGATAGTGTATATAGAAAAAAAGACTATTTAAGGTGAGAGTGCATTGAAAATTTTAATATTGAGTGGTCATTTTTTGTTAAACAGGCATATTTAAGGTTATAGAAACAAGGGGAATGATGGACTTGAGATACAAATTAGCCATAATCCAACTAAATGGTAGATGAAGGCAGAACGGTAGAAGTTGTTTACTTGGACTTTAGTAAAGCCTTTGACAAGGTTTTGCATGGTAGACTAATTAATAAAGTTAGTTCACATGGGATTCAGTGTGAGCTTGCCAATTGGATACAAAATTGGTTTTATAGGAGGAGACAGAGGGTGGTAGTGGAGGGTTGAGTTTTTGGACTGGAGGCCTGTGACCAGTGATGTTCCACAGGGATCGGTAATGGGTCCACTTTTGTTTGTCATTTATATAAATGATTTGGATGAAAATATAGAGCCATGGTTAGTAAGTTTGCGGATAACACCAAAATTGGTGTATAGTGGACAGTGAAGAATTATCTAAGATTACAAAGAGATCTTGATCAATTGGGTCAGTGGCTGAGGAGTGGCAGATTAATTTGGATAAATATGAGGTGCTACATTTTGGAGTACAAACAAGGACATAACTTATACAGTTAATGTTAGGGTCATGGGTAGTGTGATAGAACAGAGACACTTGGGGGGCTCAGATACATAATTCTTTGAAATTTGCGTCACAGGTAGACAGGGTGTTTAAGAAGGAATTTAGCATGCTTGCCTTCATTGCCCAGACCTTTGAGTATAGGAGTTGAGACGTCATGTTGAGGTTGTACAGGACGTTGTTGAGTCCTCTTCTGGTGTCCTGTGTGCAATTCTGGTCACTCTGTAATAGGAAGGATATTATTAAACTGGAAAAGATTTACCAGGATGTTACCAGGAATGCAGGGTTTCAGATATAAAAATAGACTCGTACTTCTTTCAATGGAACATAGGATTTTGAGAGGTGACCTTAACGAGGTTTATAAAATCATGAAGAGCATAAATAAGGTGAATGACAAGCGTCTTTTCCTGTGGCTGGAGGAGTTCAAAACCAGGGGCATATTTTTAAGGTGAGAGGTGAAAGATGTAAAAAGAACATGAGGGGCAACCTTTTTATACAGAAATTGGTTCGTGTGTAGAATGAACTGTCAGAGAAAGTGTTGGCTGCAGGCACAGTTACAAAGTTTAAATACACTTGGATAAGTTCATGAATAGGAAAGGTGGAGGGCTGTGGGCCAAGCGCAGGCAGGTGGGACTAGTTTAGTTTGGGAACATGATCGGCATGGATTAGTTTGACTGAAGTGTTTGTTTCCGTGCTGTATGACTCTGTGGCAGATAGGGCTGAAGGGGCTGAGTGGCCTCCTACACCTACTTCCCTGAAGGCAAAGGGTGCTGTGGACAATTACAATATGAACACTGACAATATAGCATCTTGTATATGGGTATCGAGGGCAATAGAGGAAAGTAGGAAAAATGTATTTGAGGTACGAGTTAGATGGTAGCAGGGCAGCAAATTCACCCCAGTCTGTGGTTCTCTGAAGTCACAAATTTAAGATATTATAAATATTTCTCATGAATAATCTGATCCCATTTAGATTGATGCTTCCTCGCTCAGATCTGGACAGTCATCAGCTGGTGGATTAAGAACAAGAAAAAGTTTTACAGGTAACAAAAGATCTGTAATTGTAATAAATATCAGACAAGCTATGTTTGTTATTTTATTGAGCACCAGAATACAAGTGGAAGCACATTAATACTGAATAATGTAATTATGAAGTTGCATGTGAAATAATATCTTAATCACTCGTAGAGACACATCCCTGAAATCTTCTTTTCCCTGCTGTGTTGCTGTTACTTTTGACTTGATCCAACAGGATCCACTATTTGCAATGTCAGAGGGAGATATTAAAGAGGAATGTTGTGTCCTGTATTTAGTCAAACAAATTGACATTTATTCAGAGCTCTTTACCACGCAGCGGGGGAGAGATCCCGCTATAGGACACTCTGGTTCCCTGAACCAAGTATAACACCTATCCACCCTATCTGCTCCCACCTATCCGCCCCTCCCACCTTACTGACCAACACCTATCATTGCCTACCTGCACTCACTATCACCACCCCACCTACCTTCCCCAGCTCCACCCCTCCTCTCTCTATTCATTTCAGAGCCCCCTACCCGTCCCCCATTTCTGAAGAAGGGTCCCGAACCGAAACGTCAGCTTTCCTGTTCCTCTGATGCTGCTTGGCCTGCTGTGTTCCTCCAGCTCCACACTGTGTTATCTCAGACTCCAGCATCGGCAGTCCTTACTATCTAACATTTTTATACATTTTGCATTACAATAATTGCTTGCGACATTGATTTCACTGTTAGCCGTATCCCCCTAATCTATACATTCAATTCTGTCAACACATAATCAATGATAGACAACTCTATGGACAGCCCTAGGTCATCCTGTAATTTCAAGATATTAACCAGCTACCTCCATCATCTGTCTTTGGGATCTTACAATGCATCTAACGATAATATACCTTTCCGGACATTTGCCAGCTGCATCATGTTTATTGACAATAAACTGGATGCTTAAAGGATGCTGATTTCTATGAAATGTAATAAAATTTGTAATCTCAGTTCCAATGTAAAGTTAAATAGTCACACCTAATGTCATAGTTCTTTAAGAAGGCTAACAAATTGGGGACAGCTTCTCTTTCACTCAACCCTGGCAGATCAAACAAACACAGTTTCTCTGTCTTGCAGCTACATTTTATAACTCCTGCTATTTGCATACTGTAAATTGGTTTTAAACCAGAAGGTTAATTCTTGATAAATCTTACTGTCTCTAAGCTATTCTAAGCTAGATCTTTTTACTAAATAAGACAGCATCTATTCAAATTCCATTGATGAGGGTGAAATTCAATTTTCAAGGTATAACAGGACATGATCTTACTGTCACCATTATCTTATAATTTGTCTCTGCCAACTTTCCCTTGAACTTCAGATGCAAAGATCTGCACGTAAGCTGCAATTGTTTATTTTCCATGTTTTACAACCTCTTTTGCTCTCTTTTCTGTTTACACAATTTGCTGTTTCTACTCCAGCTGACAGAGCAGGAATTTTCTTTATTGTCCAAGCATCGTTTTATCCTTTCATGGATAATCTTTATGAAAATGCTTAAATGTTTAGATCTGCCTGTCTACAAAAGTCTGATAATATTTCCTGCCTTTTTTTTCACCGGGACCCTTTATGACTCCCATGGGACCTTTCGTTATCTTATCCAGTAACTCTGTATGGAGACTGCAAGTCTGGCTGTGAAAGTCCAAAGTTTTGGCAAAGATCTGTACCTCAAGTTGTTGACTTGTTCGCCAAACTGGCTTGTTCTTGTTCAGACGTTTCGTCGTCGTGCTAGGTGGCATCATCAGTGGAGCCTCCGATAAAGCGATGTTATTCTACTCAGCTTCGAATTTATACTGTCAGGTCCGTTATGGTGAGTAATGTCATTTCCGGTTTTGATCTGTTTGGGTTTGTATATGGGGTCCAATTCTATATGTTTGTTGATTGAAGTATGGGTGGAGAACCACACCTCTAGGAATTCCTGTGCGTATCTATGTTTGGATTGGGCTGCTATGGTTACTTTGTCCCAGTTAAACTGATGGCCTTCATTGTCTGAGTGTACTGATATTAAGAAGAATTTGTCGTGCCGTTTTGCTGCTAACTGATGTTCTTGTATTCAGATGGCTAGTTTCCTTCCTGTCTGTCCGATGTATTGTTTGTGGCAGTCGTTGTATATTTGTATATTGTATTTTGCATACCACGTTGGTTCTGCATGTTGTGGGAATGGGGTCTTTAATCCTTGTGAGTGTTTGTAGTAGAGTGGCTGTGGGCTTATGGGCGCCATGATTCCTAGTGGTCTTAGGAGTCTTGTTGTCAGTTCCGATATGTTCCTGATGTAGGGCAGTATGGCCAATGTGTTAGGTTGTACTGTGTCCTCCTGTGTCCCGTATGGGTTGCTTTTCTGTATACTGAAGTTTGGAACTCCCCATTTGTCAATCGTTCTACTTTAGCATCCAGAAATTGTTGTATTGATTGACAACAATCGGTACACTCAGACAAAGAAGGCCATCAACTTAACTTGGACAAAGTAACCGTAGTAGCCCAAGCCAAACATGGACACGCACAGGAATTCCTAGAGGCATGGTTCTCCACCCATACTTCAATCAACAAACATATAGAATTGGACCCCATATACAAACCCATACAGATCAAAACCAGAAATGACACTGCTCACCATAACGGACCAGACAGTATAAATTCCAAGCGGACCAGATTAACATTGCTTCATCGGAGGCTCCACTGATGATGTCACCTAGCATGGTGATAAAATGTCTGAATGAAAACAAGCCAGCTCAGCGAGCAAGTCTGCTATATATACCTGCCAACCTTTTTTGGCCATGTTGTGTCAGCTAAAAAGCCCCGGTGGCCATTTTGTCAACTTTAGTCATAGGCTGCTACAATCGCAAAGAGGCAGTTTGTCCATTGCACGTTGCCCTTCCTTGAGAAATGGGAAAGATAGTGTAATGGATGACCCTGTGGCTTCAGGGTCACCACTGGTTGTAATGATTATAGAGGTGATTACTCATCATGTTGAAGAAATTTTCCCATGGTGTGCCAACAGTTCCAGATTTTGCCTGCCCACCTTCTCTTTTACTGTGGGATCGTTAGTTACAGGATCCATTCTCACCCCAGTAGAGTGAGCCCTGATATTTAGACACAGTTAGTGGCCTTAAACTTGGACGTTCATTTATGATTAATTTATTCATTCACAGGCTGTAGGTGTTGCTGGCTAGGCCATCATGTGTTGCCCATCCCTAATTCCTCAGAAGGCGAGTAAGAGTCAACCACATTGCTATGGGTCAGGAGTCACATGTAGGCCAGACCAGATGAGGGCAGCATTTCCTTTCCTGAAGGACATTAATGAACCAGATGGGTTTTTCCAACCATTGACAACACTTTCATAGTCATCATTAGACTCATCATTCAAGATTTTGTTGAATGAAATGCCTACCATCTGCCATGGTGGGATTTGAACCCAGCCCCAAAATATTATCTTGGTCTCTGGATTAATAGTCTCGTGATTGTACTAAAGCTCTAGGTTTTGATATCACTGAACCACGTCTGTGAGGCTAAATGTTCTTGAGTGGAACAAGTCATGTTCTCCGTCGGTCTGAGTGGCTCTACTTATTAGACAACAAAACTTATTTTAAATTACTAAAGACTTACCAATCTCCTCCTACAAGTATCCAGGTTCCATTCTATTGGGATTTTAGCCTATTATTTCCTAAGTAACCTGTTAGAGATGTTATTTCACATCCCTGGAGCAGTTGGGTATTGACCCAGGCCTCATGGCTCAGAGGTAGGGACACAACCACTGTACCACAAGAGCCCCTTTGGGATCTTGTTCCCGAAGTAATTTCACAACAGACAACATCTGTGCATTTCAATGAAATAGAAATGTTTGTACAGTAGAATTGAGACAGGCATAACAAAAGTAATTCCTCAAACAAACAAAAACAAAATTGCTGGAGAAATTCAGTAGGTCTGCAGCATCTGTGGAGAGAAAACAGTTATCATTGGGAGTCCAACGTTATTCATGGTTTCTTTGGTCCACAGAATATGGAAGCCGCGTACATACTGGAGCTGAAATTACAGTCATCAGTGAAATCAACAAGCTTAAAGAACTAATGACTTGCTCAAAGATACAGGTAAATAGATGAATGCACAGGACAAGTAACAAAACAAACTCTTGATACAAGTAATGAAATCAGGCCTCCAGGTACAAGTAACAAAACTAGCTCCCAGTACAGGCAACTAAACCAACCCCTGCTACAAGTGACTGAACTGGCTCGCAGTACATGAAATGGCATGGTGGCTCAGTGGTTAGCACTGCTGCTTCACAGCACCAGGGACCCAGGTTCAATTCCACCCTCAGGCAACTGTCTGTGTGGAGTTTGCACATTCTCCTCGTGTCTGCGTGGGTTTCCTCTGGGTGCTCTGATTTCCTCCCACAGTCCAAAGATGTGCAGTTTAGGGTGGATTGGCCATGCTAAATTCCCGGTAGTGTTCAGGGATGTGTAGATTAGGTCGGTTATAGGGGGATGGGCCGAAGGGCCTGTTTCCACACTGTAGGGATTCTATGATGATTAAAAAAGTTCCTCGTATGGGTAATGAAACAAGCTTTCTGTACAGGATACTAAACCTGCTCCATGTATTGGTGAGTAAACCCAGATTCTGGTAACTAAATCTGCTCCTATCAGGAGCATTTGACAGAAATCAGTCCCCATTGCTGCTCCAGGCCCTGGCCCCCAGTCCGAGTAAAGCAGACGCATCCCTAACTAAGGCACAGTGGATCGCAGGAGCCTGGACTCTTGTTATAGAGCCCTGATTTCCACCCTTGTCTGGTCATGTCTCCTTGTGCAGGTGACAGAAACTGCTCCCAAGACAGTGTAAGCCTGAGAGATCAGTGTTGAAGCCCCACTTTGAAAAACAGACACAAAGATTGGTCGGGCGATTTAACAGTGAGGTTGTGTGACTTGGGCTACAAGAAGATATAAATGTGATGGTCAAATAGGCAGATAAATGGTGGATGGAATTCAACCCTGAAAGTGTGAGGCAATAACATTTTGGAAGGAGTAATTTGACAAGAAAGTATTTAATGAACAGCATGAATCTAGGAAGTTCTGTGGAACAAAGGGACCTTGGCATGTTTGTCCACAGATCTCTGAAGGTGAAATGGCATGTTAGTAGGGTGGTAAAAAAGGCATATGGGACTCTTGCCTTTATCAGTCGAGGCATAGATTACAAAAGCAGGGAAGTCATGATGGAATTGTACAGAACTTGAAGGGTGTAAACCCAAAATGTAGACTTTCCTGTTCCCCTAATGCTGCCTGACCTGCTGTGTTCCTCCAGCTCCACATGGTATTGACCACAGATAGAGTACTGTGTGCAGTTTTGGTCGTCACATTACAGTAAGGACATGATTGCACTGGAGGGGGTGCCGTGGAGATCCCAGGATGCTGCCTAGGATGGAAAATTCACATTATGAGGAAAGGTTGATAGGCTTGGGTTGTTTTCATTGGAGCAAAGGAGACTAAGCGGCAATCTGGTTGAGGTGTTCAAGAATATGAGGGGCATGGACAGAGTAAATAAAGGAGCAGCTGTTCTCCTAGGTTGAAGGGTCAGGCATGAGGGGACACATGTTGAAAATGAGGGGTAGGAGGTTTAGGGGGATGTAAGGAAGAAGGTTTTGACCTAGAGGGTGGTGACAGTCTGGAATGCAGTACCTAGGAAGATGATAGAAGTGAGTTAGTGCACATCCTTTTAAAAAGTACCTGGATGAGCACTTGGCACAACATAACATTCAAAAGGCAATGGGCCAAGTGCTGGTAAATGGGGTTAGGTTGAAGGTCAGGAGTTTCTCATGTCTGTATAGACTCGATGTGCCAAGGGGCCTGTTCTGCACTGCATGATCCTATAACTTAGCACAAGTGAGTTTGAAAATCAGAAAAATATAGTCTGGTGTGATGTCAGAGGAAAGTGGATAAGTGATAGTTGGTATTTTTTCTCTTTTTCTAAAATAGGCTACTAGTTAAACTAGGAGCTGAGAAATGTTAAAAAAAAATTGGAGTTTTCAAGTAAGTGGGAGCTGAGATCCAGACTGGACATTTAAAAAAAATGAAAGCAGAGAGCCCGATCTTGTGGGATCATGCCATTCTGGAACTAAGTCACGTCACAGGACGAGCAGTCATGTAGGGTAGACTTTCTGGAAAGATTTTCATTTAATCTAACTTAATCAATTGATAATTGATTGCTGAATTAGTGAACATGCTAAAAACTGACACCAATTTTCAGTGCTCAATCAATCAATCTAGCAGATCAATCAAATAACAAGGAATAATACCGCCAAAGAGTTTTGGATATTTTTAGCAGACTCAAATTTCAAGTTTTTAGATCATGCAAGATAATGGAAAATATTGCGTAACTGAGGTTGTTGACTTGCTCGTCGAGCTGGCTTGTTCTCATTCAGATGTTTTGTCACCATGCTAGATGACATCATCAGTGGAGCCTCCGATGAAGCGATGTTGTTCTACTCTGCTTAGTATTTATACTGTCTGGTCTTTTATGGTGATTACTGTCATTTCCGGTTTTGATCTGTATGGGTTTGTATATGGGGTCCAATTCTATATGTTTGTTGATTACCTTATGGATGGAGAACCATGCCTCCAGGAATTCCCGTGCATGTCTTAATATCGGCACACTCAGACAATGAAGGCCATCGGTTTAACTGGGACAAGGTAACCATAGTAGCCCAAGCCAAACATAGACATGCACGGGAATGCCTAGAGGCATGGTTCTCCACCTGTAATGCAATCAACAAACATGTAGGATTGGACCCCATATACAAACCCAAACAGATCAAAACCAGAAATGACAGTACTCACCACAATGGACCAAACAGTATAAATTCCAAGCAGAGTAGAATAACATCACTTCATTGGAGGCTTCACTGATGACATCACCTAGCATGGTGACGAAACGCCTGAATGAGAACAAGCCAGCTTGGCGAGCAAATCAACAACCTCACCTACAACCCCAGCTACAGATCTTTGCCAAAACACTAACTTTCCAGTAACTTCCTATAAACTATTGATGTTTGCAGAAGAGAAGCAGCCAGTTGGTAAGTCTGTAGTAATTTAGTAAGTTTTGTTGTCTAATGAGAAGAGCAATGGAGGGCGTGACCCGTTCCATTCGGGCACCCTTAGCCTCGTAGACCTCCTGCAGTGATATGCAAACCTGCAGCTCACACTGCTGCAGTTGATTACACTTCCTGCACATATGGTAATCCAGGACGTGGAGATTTGTGGATAGCATGTTAATAGATGTGGTCACTCCGTAGCTCAATGGTATGTAGGGGGAGATGGAATGGGTGACTTCCAGCCCGTCTAGAAGGACCAAACAGGTAGAGTAGGGAACCCCTGAGCAAATCTTGCTGTCAAACCATTATTCAGTTCTGAAAAAGAGTAGATGGTTCATCTGAAAAGTGCGTGGCAAGCCCATGGCACTGCAGCTGTGCAGGAGGAAGATTTCAAACAGAATAGTGAAAGGAGATTTAATTGGGATTAGATCAGCGTTTCTGTGAAGGTGCACGTGAACTGGACGTGGTATGTTGATTTCCTGGTGCCTGAGTCAAGGATATTACTAAGTTGCAGGGCACCCTGAGCGAGTGGTGATAACGGGAAAACGAACAGCCAGATATTGTTCTCTCTACCTATGTCGTTTGTATCACAATGGGGTCCTGCAGTTCAGAGTTGAGGGAACTAAGAAGGAAACAAGAAAGCAGGACACGAACATTAATAATCTCCGGATTGCTTATGGTGCCATGCACAAGTATATATAAAAATAGGAGGATAAAGCAGTGAATGCATAACCAAGAAAGTGGTGAGCGAGAGGGAACTTTAAATTCCAGAGACAGTGAGAATTGGGGGTTGGGGGTGGGGGTGGGGTTCCTGTTCAGGCTAGAAGGAGTGCAACAGAACAATTGCAAAACAGTTTGCGAATGCTATTGAAGAGGGTTTAAGCTAATTTAGGAAGGGTTTGGGATGCAAAAATTCATGTCAGAGGAGTGAAACAATTACACAAGGGATTGGGAGTGTCAATTAGCTCTAGAATAGGAAATAGTAAGGAATTAGGTGGGATTAGAGTAAGAAGGAGCATAATAAAATCTAAATTAGGATCTCCGTGTACGTATAAGTGGTAAATAAGTTTCTGAGCTGAAGGCACAAGTAGCCACATGGAAACATGATGCTGTGGCAATAACAGAGACCTGATCGAAGATGGGCAGGATTGGGTACAAAATACTTCTGGATAGGTTTTCAGGAAAGGTAGAAAAGGAATGAAAGGAGAAGGAGTTGCAGTTATTTATTAAGGGGAAAATTGAAGTGCTAGAGAGAGAGGATATCTTAAAAATCAGTGACAGAATTGAAGAAGCAATAAAGATGGCATTATGTTGCTGCATGTATTCTGTACACAATTGACTGGTGGGAAGGATGCAAAAGAGGAGTGAATTTGCACAAAAGTGTTTGAATTATAGAGTAGTTATAATGGGAGACTTGTATCAGTCCAGTCTATATTCAGGTAATTATAGTATAAACAGCAGGGAGCAGCAAGAATTTTTAGAATACATTCAGGAGAACTTGCTACATCAGGATGTTTCCAGCTCAATGAGAAAGGAGGCGTTGGTCTCAGAGTGGACCCAGTGTGGCAATCTCTTGGCGTGGTGGCCTCTCAGCCCTGTGTGGACTTCCAGCCTCTAAATGATTCTAGAGCAGTCTCCCGGTATCAAAGTGAAGCCTGGCATGTTCTGGAGAGTCAAGGCCCTGCACAAACGAAAGGCTAGGTGTCGGCTTAGACTGGGTTGGAAGGACTGTTATTCTGAACTTCTTATTTCTTTATTTTTCTAATTTATTCCTATGATCTGTAATGCTGAACTCTTTATTTCTTTATTTTTCTAATTTTTTTCCCTAAGAATTTGTACTGAAGAATCTGTGCCTATGTACCTTAATGCCCAAGATGATGCTGTAAGTGGTGACTTGTAAACTTTTCACTGTACCCATGTTAGTACATGTGACACTAAAGCTAATTCTAATTCTAATTCTACTGCATGAAGTAGGAGCCGGTGTGTCTTTCACATCTGTTTGTTTACACT